CCAGCGACGCAGGACGCAGGCGCGGGAACGGTCCCTCCGCGTTCCCCACGCCCCGCCCCTCGGGGGGGGAAACAGGCGCAAGGGGCGTGGCCAAGTAACAGGTTCTGTCAGCTGCTGCGGCCGAAGTGATCGCGGTCTGCGAATTAGTGATCCTTAATAGCGATGTGAATATTTTCGGGCCAGCAGATTACGTGTTTTAGACGTCTCTTTTTGCTTTCATTAGATGGAATCTCTTTCCCATCAATTCCAGAGCCGTTGTCTTCTGTCCGATGCGTTCCCATCTGTGAGTCCAATGAAATAAAGTGAAAACCAGGGTGGAGTAGGCCCACTCTGCAAGGCGCTTTATGAATTTTTCTGGATGTGTCATAATATGTTAAGACCATGAGGCAGAGAGGGCATGGACTCCCATTTGGTAAGTGGAGAAAGATGCAGTACAGAATGAAAAATTATTACTCCAATCACATTGAAATGCAGCTGCAGAACCTGCTTCAAATGCTTATCTCCTTACTGTTCCCAAAGAGGGGTCTGTCGCCTTGGGTCTTAAGGTCGTCCTTTCCCGCAAATAGTGTTATCAGGTAGAGAAGGCAAATTTTGAAGGATAAAAACCTGAGCTACTGAGAAGAGCCAGGAGATAACACCCTGGCTGAAGTTAGGAGGGATGGTAAAACCAGGTACTAAAAATTGAGAATATGGCAGAAAACACACAATTGAATTTTATTCATAGCCTAAAAGGACTCCTTAGCAGAAAATGTATTTGAAACCAGATATCTCACTTATACTAGATTTTGTTCATTGTTTTTGGCTTCACTTCCGGTGGTTTGCAAAATTAAAAGCCTTCTCCCTATATGTGGTCAAAATACTTGAAATGTGCATAATTCTTTTACAAAGGGGAACGTAGACTGGAAGTAATAAAAATCAAGACAGTAGGTTTTGTTATTGCAAAAGCAGAAATTGATGACCAGAAGGGCAATTGCAGAATCAGCAGATCCTGTAAAGATGCTGCCTCATGAAGGGTGAGGTACTCAGCCAGGTGGCCACTGAAAGGAAAAGCAATCTGACCAGAAACACTCTAGAATAGTGGACTACATCTGCCCTTGACAGTTTTTAAGGTCAGGTAAAGCCCAGACAGGAGAAAAATTCCTGGCTATTGCAACACTCTGAAAAAAGGCACAGAAGGATATTTCCCAAAATAACTTTGTGGCAAATATCTTACTTTGGCACTCACAGCATCAGTTGATAATGCAGCAATCTGTCCTTTAGATGGCAAGGGGAAATACAAGCCAATTGGATGACCAAGCCCATTCTGACAAATGGATACATTTTAAAAATTTACTTTAGTAGGTGCTGGATAAGGAAATGGATGATCCTGGTCCTTAACTCTGACAGCAATTGCTAGAATCTGGAGACCTTGGCTGGAAAGGAAACCCATTTCCATGATATGTAGAACCAGAGAAAAAGAAGCTAAAAATCAAGACATTGATCTGGTCTCTTCAGACCCTTGAATTTTTTTATATGAGACCTTTACATTTACATTAGGTCCAATTCTTTTTTTTTTTAATATATCTTTATTGATTTCAGAGAGAGGAAAGGAGTGGGAGAGAGAGATAGGAACATCAGTGATGAGAATCATCAATCAGCTGCCTCCTGCACGCCCCCTATTGGGGATCAAGCCTCACACCTGGGCATATGCCCTGACCAGGAAGGGAACTGTGACTTCCTAGTTCATAGAATGATGCTCAACCACTGAGCCACACTGGTCCGGCAGGTCCAATTCTTGAAGCTACCTTTCCCTCCTGATCTTTCTTGCTTTACCAATAAACTTGCCAGTAAGCAAGACTGACTCTTGCTTGGGATGTTATTTATATATATAATTTATTCCACAGATGTTTACTGATCACCTGCTGTGTGTGTGCTACTAATCTGGGAAATCTGGAGGGCTCCAGAAAATGTTTATCTTGTCTTCAGTAAGCTTACAAGCTAGTTGGGGCTTAGGACATACATAAAATTTAAAACTACAAATTAAATAGCAACCAAAACCAATCCCAAACAACACAAAACTATAATGCTATGATCAGATGACATGTGAATTGTATGAATTTAAGAGGGTAAGGAATCACTATGGAGTTACAGTGGCTGGGGGAGAAGAAGCCGAAAGTCAGGAGTTTGGAGTGGTAAAGAAGTCACTGAAGGCAGGGGGAGAATGGTGTGAAGAAAATACACAGTAAGACCTCCTTCTGAGCAGACCAATCACAAAAACGAACCCCCTCCTCCCAGCCCACCCCAGCCCATGATGTACTTCAGTGCTGGCTTGTCTTTCAGAAGCAGCCCGGATTTGATCCCTTCTTGCCCCTCCCCTCCGCAGCCTGCCTTAGTGCAACACCTGGGTCATCTGTGGCTGCTGGAGGCTCGGAAGTGTGTCTGTGCATAAGGTGTTTGGCTGTGGTTAACCCAGGTTGGCTAGAGCCAAGGGCTTGAACTGGGCAAGAGGGAGATAAAATGGGGAAGATGCATTGGGGCCAGAGTGTGGAGAAGCAGTAATACAGAACTAAAGAACTGAGGCTTTGTCTTAGACTAATGGGGATTCAGTAAAAACTTTCAGGCAAGGAAGGGCCCCTGTGGGATTTTTAAAGGGCTCGCTGTAGTGTAGCCATTTCTCAGGACTTCTGTTGAGCAATTTTTAGTGCTGAGGCACTGAGCTGGGCCTCTTCTTCCTTGGCCCTGTCCTTATGGGACTGGTATTTACACAGTTAATTTTCCACCTCAGCTTCTACACCATCTCATTACCTCATTTTTTTCTTGACTTTTAGGGAAAAAAAGTATTTTAATTAAATATTTTAAATATATTCACTGTCATATATATGTTCATACACAAACACATATATTTTTCAAAAGCATATACAGTATATTGTAAAGTTTCTTCTATACCAACCCCTCTCCACTCACCAGACTCCCCCTGAACATGCACAGAGGTAACTACTGTTAGGAGCTTTTTGTGGCAAATGCAAAGGTCAATAAAGCAAATCTGTATCTTCATCCACCCTTTTAATACAAATGATAGCATGCTGTACACAGGTATTTTGCTTCCTTTCCTGAAGAGTCAATTCTAGTGTTCTTTCCTAGTGTCTTTCTGAAGCGTTAGACAGCTGTGCTGTTGAATGAAATAATAAGGAAGCAGCTGACAGGTCTTGAGCTTTTACTGTCTTACCATGTTGAGGGCCTGATGTTCAGCTTTATTAACACCCTGTGCGTTGGGGTTGACTATCTTCTTTTTATAAACCAGGACACCAAGCCATTACCTCATTTTTAACATTAGTGAAGTAAGGTACAAATATGTAAATGACACCAAGGGATGCCATTAGTACAGTCTTTTCCTTCTGAGTGCCCATACTGTTGCTTAAACATGGATTTTTCAAGTGTGTGGTAGGAGGAAAGCTGAACTGTGTCCCAGCACAGTCACAGCGAGTGATTATTTACGTAGCTATTTACTCCGCAAGACTATGAGTCTCTGGAAGACAGGAATGTGTCTTATGCATCACTGCAGCATTACTGCCTAGCGCTGTGCCTGGCACGTAACAAATACCCTATTTTTGAAAGCTTTGGAACCTGAGTCACAGTGGACATAATTGCAGAAAACAACTTTGCTATTTTTGTGCTTCATAAATATACTTGAGTAACCTGAATATTTATGACTTTGTTTTGCTTTTCCAGAATGATGATTACCAATTTTTGAGCGCTAACTATGCATCAGTGATAACTGCCAAACACATCTAATTTAACTTACAATTCTATGAGCTGGGTAGTCAAATCATTTGACAGACAATGATGAAACCAGTTCAAAGAAGTTAAGTAACTCACTCAAGTTTGCACAGTTAGTGAGCATCAGAGTCAGAAATCAAAGCCAGGTTAGTTTGACCCAAAGCCAGTGGCCTTAACCATTCAGATGTGTCTACATGTCACCTACTTATGGAAAACCACAAAAGAAGCTCAGCCTTTGGTCATACCACATGACTCAAATCAGAGTGAGCTGGCTGAAGGCAGGCTGTGATCAGTATCACCAATATTTAGCATTTTGAATGTCCACTGTTTTGGTGATCCTGGATAATTGAGAAGGAAATATCAACAATAACAACAAAATATGTTTCTCATTAAAGTCTCCCTGTAATTTGTACTGAGTTGTTCCAAATGCCCAAAACTTCTAAAAGGTATGGGGAAGATTGACATTGCTAATGCTGACCTTGGTAATGTTATGTTGAGATAGATTAACATCAGTATTTGCTGGTCACTTCCTGACAGGATAGATTTCAGTGGATCTGTGTTGGTAGCCCTTAAAATAGAATAGGGTATTTTGTTCAAATGCAAAAGTAGATACTTTATATTAAAGGAACAAAGAAGCAGAGTGAGTGGTGTCAGATGTAACATATACCTTCTTTATTCATCCATTCAGTAAGTATTTGAGTTTTTACTATCTACCTGGCACTGTTGAGGCACTGAGGATATAACACTGAACAAAAACAGACAAAAACTCCTATCTGTTTGGAACTTACATTCTAGTGGGAAGAGATAAACAAAAAGAAAAGGAAAACAAATCAGATGGTAAGGATATCGAGACAGACAGGGAAAGAGAATAGAAAATGCTGGGATGTGTGTGCAATTTTAAATTCTTACACTATGTGCTAGAATTGTGACATCATTGGCCTTTAACCCTTCTCTCTTTCTGAACCTGCCAAATGCTGCCCTAGATTTGTGTCACATCCTGTAGGTCCTGCTTTCTGCACCCAGTGTGAAACCCCAGTAACCACTTGCCCTGCTGTTCATGTCTAGTTTCTTGCTGGTCCCAGTTGGTCTACATCTAATCTTGATTCTTAAATCTAAAGCCTGGAGGAAGATATTCAAATAATCTTGAGAGTTTGGGGAGACTCAGAGGGGGTAGAGGAAAATAAATCAAAAGGAGACCTCTTTAGGTAAGATTAGGAAGAATTATCTTTACCTCTTCACCTTTGACCTAATCACTAGCTGTTCAAAACAGCTTAAGGGCTTAACAGGGCGTAGAAGTAGCTGGAAGAAGGTGTTAAGTAGGTTATATTAGTTCATGTAGAGGCAGAAGGAAAAAAGTAATTTTTCAAATGAATGAGGCAGTGGTGATGCCAAGAGATGGTGGTGGTGGTGTGATGGATGCTTTAGCCTCCCATAAGCTCCACCAGCTACTTAACCCCAAGAAAACTGCCCCTACCTCAATAAATCCAAAATAACAATACAACTTCTTCAGTTGTGGCAACTGACAGTTTCTCAATCATATGTGAAGTGTGATATAAAGCATTTTCGGAGATTCTTGTATTGCTCTACCATACAGTTTAAGAATGTGTTTGCAAAAGCAGCTTCAAAAAAGCCCCTGTAAACCCGAGGTTAACGAAAGATGGCCATGGCTTAGGCTGGACAAAGCCGGCGGAAGCGGTTTCACGGATTACGTTAGCTATTCGAGCGCTGATGGTGCACCTTCAGGCGTGGCCAGGGGCGGGAACATGGAGCGAAGCTGTAACTGCGGTAACGAAGTCCAGGTCTATTCTCCTTGTGAAGTCAAAATCGTTAAATAACCGGCGCGGCTCACGTCACCCGGGGTTGAGGCCTGCCTTCGGTCCTTAGAGCAGAGTGCCACCCACCTATGGCCCCGGCCAGCGTTAAAGGCCAAAACCGTTTTAAACGCGGCCGGTAGGGCTTCGAACATGGGTTCCAAGCCGGTTTTTCCAAAGGCTCGGTGCCGGGCCTGGTGTCAAGACTAGGCTCCCAGCAGGACCCGCAGGCGGGCTCCGGGCCGGCCCTCGCCTCCCCGCAAGGCCTGCTGGGAGTTGTAGTTCAGTTGTCGAAGAGCCCCGAGAAGCCCATCCTCCTGCTTCCTCCCCGCCGAGGATGAGTGCGCAGAATCGGGAGAGCAGGCCAGGACCCAGAGAGCTTTAGGACTACAATTCCCAACGGACCGTCGTTTCCCAAGGGCGCAGTCCCAGGTAGGCGGAGGCGCTCTTCCCTCTCCTGCGCATGCACACCTGTCGGGCGGTGGCGGGATTAGGCCGCGTGCGTTTTCCCGCTCCAGCTCCTCCAGGGTTCGCCCCGCCTCGGGCCTCGGGTCCGGCCTCGCCCCCCCCGCCC